ACTGCTGTGTGAAAATAGATTTCCTTTTCGGCTGAGTCTGGGAAATTGTGCAACGCAAATGACACTAAATGGGAGATTTATCCTGGTAGACTAAACAGGGACACTCAGGGAGCTCAAATAGCTTCTTCCAAAACCTTTAATACGATCAATTCATAAAGCAAAGAACCCAAGAAATCAACTAAAACATTGTTCACCAAATTTATTTTAACATTTTAGGTAATTAATTAATTAATTAATTAATTATTGAGAGCCTGTTTCAAAAACTTTATATTATACATACAGTCCTTATATTCGTGCCTTCCTAAAAGTAAAAGTAAAGAGCTTAAATTGATTTATATTACGTATCTATTTCTTTACTTCTTGAAGACAAAAATATAAAACAATAAAGTTAGCATATAAAATTTTGTATACACAGAAAAAAAAAGATAAAATATGATATTTATTCTGATGAAATTCCGTATCATTTTATGCGTGATACATGAAATATCAGTTTGATATGATCGAATATATATCAATATATTAAACATTTTTTTGATATTAAAATGTTGAATCGACCATGTTGTAAATTTTATATTTTAATATCAAAACTTTATTATTGAGAAAGTATCATTTTCCAACATCAAATTTACATTTTTCAATGCTTAAAATCAAAATCTCTTGTAAATATCAAATTGAACAGTCGTTATCAAACTTTACGATTATTTTTTTTGTGTGTTTGTCCTTTTAACAGAAGATAGCATTCTTTTAAAAATAATATAAATATTGGTATGCCATCAAAGATAAAAATGAAATGTTTTATGTGGCCTATTTAAAGTAACTTATCCCGAAAATTACTTTCTATTTTTATCTTCTTCGTTTCTGTTCTGTAATCGTATGTTTCTATTGTCAACTCCTTATAAACTGACACTCCCTTTGCGGTACATCTATTGAGTGATTGAGTGATTGACAGCCAAGTACCAGGTCATAACTAACTTCCAGTTATTTTACTGCATTTCTAATTGAATGAGAGGCGACGACAGTACGCGTATAATGAACCTATCATCATTAATCATTATCTGGATGAAATAGAATTATAGAATTGAATTGCTGATTCGAGCACATTGAGCCACGGGGAGCACGACGATCGGCAATTCTAATTAGAGCTATTCAGGAAATCTCCGACTTTAGACTTTGGATTTTAAGATTTTCGGATTTGACTAGACATATATTATATATATGTACATGTATTGGCATCTGGCACAGCAAGACGGAGTCGTTGGTCTAGACCCAAACCCAAAAAAACGAAACACGAAAAACATGGCCAGAAATGTCAACTTCAATTCAGTTTGTTCCTCCGGTTGTTGCTGTTTCTTTCGGCTGATTTTGGCATCCCAGAAAGTTGTAACCGCCGGAGAGGAACACGAAGCCCAGCTTCCACTCAATGTAAACTTTCGATTTCCATTTTTTTGTTTTTTTTTGTCTTTGGTGACCATTTCTTGGGGAGCTCGGAAGGTAGCCGGCCTCACGATATTTGCGTGCCAAAGCGAAATTGTGTGGAAGTCAATTGGCAGTCACGTTTGGCCAAAGCCATTGGACCTGGACTTGGACTTGGGCCAGGGCCAAAACAATCCGCTGCAGCTGGGCCAAATTAAATTGTCAGTGCGGCATTAAATGGCTGGGCATGGGGATCGAAATCGAGATCGGCGGAGAGCAGAACCCACTGGCTGTATAGAGTTATCTTTCGATTAACAAACGATTGAAATTAATTTTACAATATTTCCGCATGCTGGCCATGAAATGTGTGCAAAACAATGACAACTGCAACAGCAGCAGCAGCAACAGCAACCATTTGTGCAGCAACTACAGCAGCAGCAGCAGCAACAAAGAAAAATCACGAACCCGGAAGAGGGCCTTCCACTGCAACTTTGAATTTGGCCAGATCCAAGTCGCTTTGATTCCTCTAACTCAGGTCGCCTTCTCCCCTGTCACATGACTTGGTTTCCTCCCGCCTGCAATTGCTTCATTTTGGCCAGAATCTCAGCCCCCGAAAACCAGTTGTGTTGTGGCTCGTATTTTGGCTAAAAATTTGTTCGCGCTTGTTGACATTTGTGTCGTGCAAAGGGCTGCCCAAAAGAATTTGAAATGCGCGGCCAGCGTGTTCCGACAGTTGGACAGATGAGCAGCAAGTAGTGGCTGAAGTGGCTGGGTGTAAATTACGTGGCCAGAATGGTCAGAACGGCCAGAGCCAAGACGAAAAGTAGCAGTTGTAGCTGTTGCTGCTGCTGTCAGTTGCAGTTGCCGCCGCCGTTGCAGTCGTCAAAATTGCAATCAATCATGTGGCCAAGAATGCCCGGCCAGTAGACAAATGGAACCTGTTTTCGGCCCGGCACTGGCCTGGCTATCAGTGTTAAGTCTACAAGATCGTTTTGCCCGCTCGGCCACAAACCCATAATTTGTGATTGTTATAAGCCAGAACCGTAACGAGTTCTCCGGAGTCCGGACCAGTCGACGTAATAGACTCGTCGCCGGCCTAATGAATTGAATCGTTTCTGATGGCCTTGTTTGCTGCGTTCCTCTGCTGCCATCCACTCGACTGCCATCGATCACGCCGGGATTGGGGATTGGGGATTGGGGACTCCTCGTTGGCTGGCTTTTCTCGGGATTCAGGTTTTCGGGCCTATCAAGTGGAGGGAATCTGTGGCCCAGGCACGAAGTGACTGGCAAGACCGCCCGCTCAGCCAGCTCAGTCAACAGAACTTTTGGGTCTTTGATTAGGAATCAGTTGGGGGAAACTCGGTCATCCTGCCTCACCTACATAGATCGCCTGCATTCAGCGGCTCCTTTCCTGCTTCAGCTTCAGCTTCATTCCATTGCCCTGCTCGTTTTCCTGCACAGCAAAAATCAGGAGTATATTGATGAAATCTCTAGCACTTTAACCGAAACACACAGGGACCGTAACAATAATAACTTTTATGAATAAAACTCGCCAACATCCTTAATTAATCATTATTTTAGATTTTTATTTATATGCATCTGAAATATTCGTTTGAGTTTTTATTTTCACAAAGCTCAAACATTAGTTAATTGAAATGATTTTTTTTTTGACAATTAGATTGATAGACTTAGGATCTCTACGAATACCAAAAATTTCCTTAAAAAAACATTTTGTAAAATAAAGACTTGATCGTTTTTCTCAAATTTTCACCCACAACATATTTAATAGCAAATTCCATATTTATCGGACAAGACAAATTTGGCCTAATATTAACTATTCGGTACAGACTGTCAAATCCAAATATGAAGGTCGCCTTCTTCTCTTGTTTATAGTACAATTCTGAACACATTAATGTGTTTTTTCTCAGATAATTGTTAATTGTGATTTTAATTTTCAAATCTCAAACGATAATAATCGCTATTTGGTGTTATTATTTATACAAATCTTCTCAGCTTGCTTGGAATCGTTATGAAATTGGTCTACAAGTATAAATATCAGGAAGAATGTACCACTAAATTAAGCGGTTTGTAAAGTCGATTTATTTATAGCGCTATTCGAGTATTTACATGGTCGTCTTCTTCTGAAGAACTCGCGGCGATGTTTGTGTTACTCTTTGTGAGTTACGAGTTGGTAAAAACGCGAATTCTTTAGAAGAGGATGATGATTGGTTATTTGTTTGTGACTCTAAAATCTGTTTGAATTTAACTACACTGAAAACTGAAAATGAAGTGTATATAATTATTATAATTTATACAATATTTGCATAGATTTTCTTTTAATATATATTTAATCCCTTTTCTCTCACTGTGACCATCCATCCTTTGGCTTCGAGAGTGGAGCGCGCCTATCGCCAACTGTCATCATTTTCAAATTATTTCTCGTTGAATATCTAATCAAGATTCATGCATGATCGCGGCTAAATTGCTTCCAGGCAAGACCAGGCCGAAGACCAGCATAACAATTGCTATCCTAGCTGGGTTCCTGCACCATCCAGCATCCAGGCATCCAGAGCTCTTCACGTTTTGCTGTTTGATTTTTCCTCAGCTTTTTCCATTGTTTTCCGCCCCGGGCCAAGTTAATAGTGTTGTTTCTGGCCGGGATTCTTTCGAGCTTTGTTTGCATATTGGTTTACTTAATTTTTTTTCGGGTTTTCGGGCAGACAACGAATTTTGCATCGGGAATTAGCCCTGACGATTGTTTTTCACTGCCCATGTAATCATTTATGTTTATGAGTCTCTACGATGTTGTTTTACTACTCGCATATGCACTTATACTTGAACTTTTAACTTGTCTTTATTTCACTTAATTGAAACTAGACAGCATCCGTAGGTAAATAATTCAATTACCCAGCGACGCTGACTCAGCTCGAGTTGCAATTGCACTCAGAAACCGAGTGGGGTGCTGAGCATTATTAAATTCTATTAAATTTGTTGTTCATTTGCTGGTTAATTCGCTGGCCGCCACTTAATGGTTATTAACTTTCGTGTGACATCTGTGACTTCGGGTGTTTGCCTCAATTGCCGGCCATATGGGCAGTGGGTATCACTCCGTAAATTGATGACCCCCCCAAGTGGCCTTCTAATTGTTTTATTAGATTTACCCAAAGCCACGAGCCGGCTGCACCTCCCCCCTCCCCCTTTCGAACCACGCCCCTGCGAACCAATTTCAGGGTGTCCATTGTTGGTTAACTGGCGAACAGGGCAGGGAATCGATTCGGCCGCAGGCACACAGCTTTTGACATTTTTATTTGCGCTTTGTTGTTCGAGAGCTGGCTAAATTTACGAGTCAGCCAAGAAGGGATCGAGGTGTAAACACATTTCTCAGCGCGGCTGCATGAAATTATTATCAAACATGCAAATCTGCGGCCGTTGCGGGCATCGTAAATTGATTTTTATGCTGCTGCTGCTGCTGCTGCTTCTGTTGAAGTTGAAGTTGGAGCCAAGCTCCAAGCGGATAAAGTTGAAGTTGTAATATCCCGTCTCGCTTGGATTCTAAGTCATTCCGTGTTTTCTCTACCCCTTTGCAGTTGCCTGCTACTCGTCTTGCCCGAGACAAGCCGCCGCAGTAATTTAAAGCGAGGAGACCCCTGCAAGAGGGTTTAGGAAGGACATAACAGACAGCCAGGATGGTGCTCGTGCTGAACGGTGTGCTGCAGGACGACTGCCCCATGGACACCAACAGCCTGTTCCTGCAGCATCCCGTCTACAGAGACTACGCCCAGCAGCTGCACTCCATTCAGGCCAAGTCGGTGGGTCCGGTGGGGCTGCTCTACGTGGGACAGCGGGAGCTGGCCGCCTCCGCTCCGCACGACAAGCACGTCAACATCATCGGCGCCGACGATGCCACCACCTGTATTATCGTCGTGGTCCGCCATTCGGGTAAGATTGCGATTCCGATTCCGATTCCAACTCCAACGCCCTGTGCCCCATAAATTGGCTTCATTTGGCTCATTAACCCACCGTTTCGCGGCAGGATCTGGAGCCGTGGCTCTGGCCCACTTCGATGGCAGCGGCGTGGACGAGGCTGTGTGCACCATGGTGTCGCGGGTCCAGGAGCTGGCCGTCGGCTACCCGGAGGGTCGGATCGAGTTGCAGTTGATTGGTGGCTACCGCGATGCCAAGGGCTACGGCGAGGACGTCTTCTTCAGCATCATGCGTAAGTGTACCTACTCTATTGGACTGCATAGTATTTAAATAGTTTATGGCGTTACCCATCTTACAACTTTCAAGCTTTACAAATTTCTCTTTTTATTTATTTTAAGTATAATAATAATAATAATTAAATGCTATCTGTGATTCGATTTCGATTCCATTTTTTTTCGAAAAAAAAATGTTTTTTTTGTATATATAATATATATTTGTTTTTTTTTTTGTGGAAATCGAAAAAAAAAGATTAAATTGCTTACCATTTTGTCAAAAATGCATATTTTTAAAAATCTTTCATAAAAAGGCTAGTGAATAGTGTTATTTTACTGAATCTATTAAACGAATTTTGTTTCATGTTCAAGATCCAGTTCTCTAGAATTTTGGTCACCGCAAAACAAACTCAGAAAAAGGACATTTATTTTTATTTTAAATATATACTTTTAATTCAGTAGTTAAAAAAAATAGGTGTAGCCTTAAGAAAGTAAGTTGTTTAGTATGAAATTTGGGAATTCATTGTTCTTTTGTTAACTAATCAAACACTTTAGGTTTGAATGCGTAATATGAGCCTTTTTAAATGTTCCATAACTTCTCATTCAGATTTGATTCAATTTTAAAAGATACGTTATTAAATATTTCTGTGAAAAAAAGGAACATAAATCTACAATTTTTAAAAGTAGAATTTTTAAATTCAAAACTATGTAGGTTCTTTTATTTATTATCATTGTTAAGAACCTTAAAGTGTCTGCGATAAAATAAATGGTTATCAAATTTGGCGGACCCGAACACAACGTTTGATTTTAGATTGAGGAATTGGCGCAGATTGGTTAATTCAAACGCTGTACCATTTCACATTTAAACATATATATTATATTTAACGCCATGCGATATGTTTTTACTTAAAATTAAGAATAAAAACCTTGAGTTTTATGTTATATATTTTTTTTCTGTGACATGTCGTTAAAGAGCCAAAGGCATCTAAAATTAAATATTTTTTTTCGCGTTTCAGAATCATTCCACAATCACCTTCTTGAGATCGATCTGACGCAGGCATGCGTGGGCGAACTGAATACCATGATGCGCGGCGAGATCAGCTGCCCGATAATCTACGGCGTGGGAGTCAACATCAAGACTGGTGAGATCTTTCCGGCCTCTTTTCCGGACCGAGGACCCGATCGGGAGTTGCGCGACGCTCGCATTTTCATGGGAGCGCAATCGGTGAGTGGGCAGTGATCCTTAACACTGGACGATACCAATGGTTTCTAAACACTCGGCAGGTCCTGGATGTATACGACTCATCGCTGGGTATGCTGCGCATTGGACCCTTCAACTACGATCCATTGCGCGGCGCCGATCTGTGGCTGTCCCAGACGGATGAGTTTCTGCTGCAGCACCTGTCCTCCAGTCCCGACGTGGAGCCACCTCACTTTGCTCCTCAGGTGTGTTTGCATTTGCATGTGAATCACCCTCTGATAGCTGGTCGAAAAACCATTTCGTTGTTTTTAATGGATATAGAAAAGCTTTACACTAGATTTTACAATATTTTTATACCATTGCAGAGAGTTTTATAATTTCAGTCAGAAGTTTGCAACGCAGTAAGGGAGACATTTCCGACCTTATAAACTATATATATTCTTGATCAGCATCACTAGGAGAGTCGATCAAGCCATGTCCGACAGTCCGTCCGTCTGTTTCTACGCAAACTAGTCTCTCAGTTTTAAAGCTATCTGCATGCAACGTTCCCAAAAATTGTCTACCTATGGCAGGTAGTACATAAGTGGGAACCACGGAAATAACCGGAATAAAAAAATATATATCAAAGCAAATTTTAACTTCTCTAACATTAATTTGTTTTTGTAATTCCCTTAAACATAGAAGTTGTTTCATAAGTCAGAATTAGGCTTTTAATTTTTTTTTAAATCGGAAAACGTTATTATATAGCTGCCATAGGCACGATCGAATAATTGAGGTGAAAATCATCATACCTTCAATTGGTTTTATATGTACTCACATAATTCAAAACTTCGATGTTTTAAAGATGTTTCAGTTTTGCAATAGCTGCAAGGGTATATAAACTTCGGCTTGCCAAAGGATGCTTCCTTTCTTGTTATGGAATAGTCGAAGTTATTTAATCCAAAGAATATTGTTATAAACTGTGTAATCAAATTACTTTGTTACATTTCAGACGCGTGCCACCATAAGGTTTATACAGGAGAACCAGTTCCCCGCCGTCACCGTTTTCAGGGACAATCGGCCGCGCTACTTTCGACGGGACGATGGCACGGGCTGCTGGGTGCTGGTTAGATATTAAAGATTACTTTAGTGTTTAGTTGTTACGCAATTCGAAACTGTCGCAGATTTGTTAAGTGTCTGGTGCATGCGTTAAATGTCGCTCTTCACCGCAAATGCTTCTGCTTGCCTTTGTTTGAGTTTTAATCGTTGAGTTGAGTTGAGTTGAGTTGAGTTGAGTTGAGTTGAGTGTATTCGGTTGTAATTGCCGTTGATATTCCGATAAACCTGTATCTGCTGTAATTATCGCCTGACTAGCAATTGCAATTGATGAATGCGACATAATCTCTTTTTAATTAGATACAAGATTGAGTTCCGACGCTGGAGACGGATGCTTGGGACGAGCCTTAGAAATGGATCTGAACTGGAAACGTGAAAGCGATAAATAATGATCAATAATTATTACAATTGTATGTGCACATATGCATGTAAATATTTATGTATGTGACCCCATAAAAGAACCTATTACTATTTAAAAGAGATTCTTAGCTAAATATATATGCGCATACCCCGTGTAAACGAAACGAATCAATTTCGAATGCAATCATTTTAGCTATATCCATAACTTGTAATCGAAACTGTAAGAAAATATATAAAAATGGCTTGGCTATACATACACACAGTTTCTTGACTTGTTTTAAATAAGCATGGGTGTTAACATTGGGAGAGGCTTAAAGACAGTAATTAAATACTGGCCAAGTTGTTGTGACATTCGCACATTTTTTCTAAGACGTATTAAAATAATGGAGTATTGCTATTTTAAATGTAGCAATTTATTAAAGAACATTTTTTTTAAGAATCATTTTGTATGGTTGTGTTTTTCTTCCCTAAATTAAATTTATTATATACAAAGATATTTTAAAATGGTCTTAAAATTACTTAAGATGTACCATAGAACTGTGAAACATTTTTAGGGGTTTTACTTCAGATTCTGAACTAGTTAGAACCCATTTAGAGCTTTCTGGCCTATTTCGCCAGCTAGCTTGAACATAATAGCGCATTATTGATTTTAAGTTAGATTTTGATATATTTTTAAAGGACAATTAAAAATTCGTGAAAATGAGAAAAATTATTAGTGAAAATGAGAAAAATTATTAGTGTTAGCAATTGGTTGAGTAAATTTAGAATCCCAAGTTAAAAATTCAGCAACATTTTTTATGCTGCACAGTGTAATCTGAATAATGTATCCAATTGTGTTTAATAACCTTTTGTACAATTGGTTTGCGCCAATAGACTAACCGGTTAAGCAGTTGCTGAATCTTATTTGAATTCCTTAGTTCACCGAAAAAAGGAACAGATGGCGCGTTGGCATTTGAGATCAAAGTAAAATGTACAAATGTACATGCTATATAATAAATAAGTGTTACTCTACATTGTGAAGGCGTTGCGGTACCCTAATAAAACGAAAGGTGGGAAAACTCCAATTCACGCTGTCGCCATCTACCGACAAACAAAGTGTAACTGAGTCTTAATATGTTGAAATTGCCGACATATTGAAAAACTTTTTACTTTTTTGTCAGTTTGGGAGAAATGACGTACCAAAAAAAAAAAAAGATTTTTTAAGGTAAGTTTTCGGATTAAAAAAGGATTCATTTTTGCTTTTGGTTTCAAGGCTTAAAGTGATACGAAATTTATTGGGTGGAAAAGTTAACTATCTTTATAATCGGTTAGAGTCTAAGCTAACCAGTTAAGAAACTGCTGAATCTGAATATAATTTTTTAAGAACGAGCAACAGATGGCGTGCCCAAAAAAGTATGTGTTGCACAACATGTTGCGGCAGCTTGTATTTAGTTTCCAGCAGCAAGTTGCGGCAGCAATTTTTCGTATTTTTTTTTAAGATGAAAAGTTTTATTTGAGATGAACTTTTTATATTGAAAAGCACATCTCTAATCTGGATCTATTTCGACATGAAAAGATAGATCTGGCAACGCTGCGATTCTGCCGGTTTATTTTGTTTTGCTGAATAACAAGTATTCCGAGTCGGTGCACAGTGGTCGGGCTTGTATGGGAGCCGCGGCCATAAATACTTCTAGAAGAATGTTATAAATATATAGGACTAGAATTGACCAGATCTTACCACTATCTCATATAGCTTTCTTAGGAACAATCGGGAAAAAAATTTAAAAAAAACATATACCATTTTTGTTTTTTAATTTTTTTTTAGTTCCTTAAGATTTAGTAATAGTTTAATATTCCCTAGTCTCGGTTCAATTCGTTCGGAAACTAGAATAGGGGCGGCAGAACTCCTACGATGCCGAAGTCTAGAATTGAATCGATTCTGAGACGCAATCACAAAATAATTTGTAATAGGTCAAATATGTTTTTATAAACCAAATTTGAACAGCAATATTGTTCTTAAACCATTAAAGAGTAAGGAAAAAATATCGTCTTATCGCAAAGTATTTTAAATCAATTAATTTCTGTGCTTGCGGAATTGATTTCGCCAGCCAATTGCTTGGCGTATGGTTTCCGTAAGGCTTTTACGGAATTAACAGAGAATTAGCAGAGGGAATTTAGATTCCGTGTGAATCTTTCGGAAGTGAAAACTGGAACAGTTCTGGGAAATTCGAATCCGAGTGAATCTTTCGAACGTGAAAACTCCTGTTTTCAAGTTTATTTTTTAGTTCGTCGACATATAGTAATATTTAATATTTCAGAACTACGGTTTAAATATTAAAATAATTTTTCATTTTCTCGTTAACTTATTTGAGATGATATTTTTATTTGAGATGGGCAAACTTTATAAAAAAAAAAAATAGAATTGGCAGCGCTGTGATGCTGCCGGGTTATTTTTTGCAGATTAACACGAATCTGAGAATTGTATAAAAATTGTTTTTGATTATATTCATGTTTTACTTACTTTTATTTAAATTTTAAATTACAATTGTTGAGCCTGTCTAGCGCCTGATTTATCGATATATTGCCAGGCATGTCTGCCATCGACACTTTCACACTCCCTCTTTTAGTGATGGTAGTGACTTAGTGATGGGTTTGACTTCACTTCAAGAGCTGTCGCTTTCACTTAAATTGCTTTCAAGACAAATACACCGAATTTTCAAATACCTTTTCATTTATTATTGAAATTTATTTTTCGATGGACAATGATTAAAAATTTTTATAAATTCAAATTGTCATTATCGCAAAGCGCTGAAATAATTTTATAAAGTTTCTTGTTCTCCATACCAATTTTCACTATTTTTTCTCCCGTTCATATTTTCTCTATCTTTGCACCTATCTCACGGAAAATTTATTGCAAAATGCAAAACACAATCTTAGATTGCTTCTCGCTCTCACGCTGTGCATTCGCGTACCGTGTATTTTTTTATTAACTTGATAAGTTTTTTCATGTTCGAAATAAAATTTAGAATAGTTTTTGAGCGGCTTTGAGAGGTACATATGTACATTGTACATATGGAATTCAAGACTAATCGTAGCTATGTATTTTAGCAGTCGTTGATTCATACGATATTCAGTATATACATACATACATATGTACATATAATATATCCCCGGAAGTCAATCAAATATTCGCTTTTACTGGATGTTCTGGACCTTATATTCACATTTTAAGTGCAGTGTAAAAAGTCCAATAAGAACCAAAATGTTCTTGGGAAAATAAAATCAAAAACGCTAGCCACCAAACGAGTTATGTCGCACTCGCACACACCCGCAAAAGGCTCTCGTCAACATGCGCTGTCTTTGTCCCACTCGATTTTGCATTCTCCCACAGATGCATCACATATACGTACGCACACTTGCCTGTAACGTAATAAAAGCACGTGTTGTGTTTGATTTCTCACTCCCACCTCAACCCTCTGTGCTGTCCCTCTTCCTCTAACAGACCCAGTTTCTGGTTTTGTTTTTGCTTTTATGACAAGATTTCGCTCGCTGTGTGTGTGAGCGATCGCTCTCCCTCTCTCTCTTTCCTTCTCTGGTCTTTATTTGGTCTCTGATAACAGTGGCGATTTTGGATTGTATTTGTGAGTTGGCTCCCCGTGCTTTTGTTTTGTTATTGTTTGGTTTTGCCTTGGCTTTGTTTACTTTTTCAGTTTTCTTGGCTATTTTGGCTTTATGAAATGAGTGGGCCAAAAGACAATTAACCAAAGCATTGAATATGGGTGCATATTGTCCACACCTCTGTATTTGGCTTCAAACTTCCATATATGTAACTATTATGCTCGGCTGCGTGAACCGGTTTAGAGTTTTGCTGAACCGCAGGAACCTTTCGTATTCTGATTAGTTCCCACACATATCAACAGGTAGCTGCAGCTCGGTCTGCGTGTGTGTGAGTGAACTTGCCACCTACTCAAACACCCGCGGACATATCGGAAGTTACGGTCCAACTGGCAAACCACCAAATGCTGAAATACCGAAATACTGAATTTCTGAACTTCCCCAGAAGTTCAAACGCACACACTCACACAGTCACACATTGTGGCGCAACAAGCTCCCCCAGTTTCCCCCAATGCCTCTGTCCCTTGTCCGCTCTCTCCAAAACCTGCTGCCGCTGCACAGAAATCAAAAGTGAACACTCTGCACACTCGCCCCCCTCAAGAGTGCCCCTCGATGGGCGCCAAATAAATACACGAACGGCAGTTCGTTGCCTTCGTTCTTGCCTCGCGTGCTTCGTATCTTGATTTGTGCCCGGTTCTAGTTGGCTGAGCCACTCGGGTCCGCCGCTTCGGTTGCAGTCGGCTCCCGCTTCGGGTGGGGCCGCGGCGTTCGGTCCACTCCCACTCCACTCGGCCCCACTCGCCAGTCAGTCGGCAGGCAGAGCAAGAGCAGCCCGCAGCTTTTTTCGTGGGGAGATCGCAGTTTTCGCTTGCCAATCGATGGGTTTCCGGAATTCGCAGTTTGCAGTGCATCGTTTCTTTGACTTTGTTTAATTTGGTTACACGGCAATTGGCAGCAATTAACAGCAGTAGTGAACGAGCCACTGCATTAATTATTAATAGCGCGCTCGCCAGACAAGTTGGCCCCGTGATAAGCAAATCGCTAGTTTGCCGAGTGAGTGGCACAGTGGAATGCATTTGATTAGATTGCGATTTGTTTGCTGGCCTGTCATCGTTGTTACTGAACAAAGCTGGACCGGTCAACCTGACATACCCGTTTCGGCATCTGTTTCGGTTTCTGTTTCTGTTTCGATTTCGGTTTCATTGCTTTTTTGAATTCGCGAGTTTTCGCGTTTCTGCCAGTCTTGCAGAATGAGTTTTGGGTGTGCACCGGAAACAAACGAGAACGAAATAACAATCAGCCATTCACAAAGCCATAAAGCACAGTGAAACACTTGATAACGCAGCCCGTAATCCAATAACCCCTCGCAAAACCAAAATCAATCTCGCAACGTTGAGTAATTAAATGCTGATCAAGTGATTTCTCGTCTGAAATATCAATCGAATCGAAAAAAATGTGTGTCATAAGTGCAGAAGTGAAGTGCAGCTAAATGTGAAATGCCCAAAAATGCAATCAATTTAAATGAATTTATGTTTAATTTGTATAATCGTTTTCACCACTCGTAACTCGAGAGCCCGACCAACAAAAGCCGGAAAAGTGCAAGTTCGTGGCAAAATTTAAGTACAAATTTGTGCAAACCAATGGGGAAAATCGAAATGGTAATTCCATTAAAAGGCAGTGCGATTTTGAATAGCTGACTAAGAACTTTTAGATTCAAGCAATTAAAATTGGCTCTGTCGACTAACAATAAACCCTCAGAAGTGGCAAAGGGACTCAGGAGTAATGGCAGCAGTTGAGAGCAATTAAGCGCATCGTTACAATAGTAAAACAGGGGAAATAGTTTCAAGGCACACAGCAAACAAAGCAAGGTAAAATGTCAGCCACTCAGCCAAAGGATACGGCATTAAAGACTAAGGCATTGGCAGCTCAAGCAGCAACCCCTCCACCCCCGCCCATCGCCAAAACAACAGCAGCAGCGGGAAAGAAAACTTTAACCTCCAACGCGGCTCTGTCATTGTTTGATCAGCTGAAAAACAGCGTCAATTTAAACAGTTTGACAATTGGCGCCGGCGTCGCCAACAACAGCAACCCAGAAGTAACACCACCTACAACAACAGCCGCAGCCACACCCACCGCCACACTGTTGCCAGCCCCCGCACCTCCCACCGCCCCCTCTGTCACCTCAAATATTGAGCTGAAGCCCCCGGCAAAGCCCGCGCGTCCCTTCAGCACGCCCAGCAGCATTGGCGTCGTGCAGGGCACCAAACGGGGGGCGGGAGGCGTGGGGGGCGGGGCTGGCGCCCAGACCGCCAAATTGGATATAAACGCATTGCGATCTCAGCTATATCAGGGCGCCAGGAAGGCTGCAACAACAACTCGACTGGGAGTGGGGGTGGGAGCCGGAAAAACAGCAATCGTAACAACAGCCTCCAGAACAACCGGAGGGGGAGAACGCGGCACGAGGGGATCCAAGAAGCGGTGTCTGGATCGATACGATTCATCGGAGTCATCAGACAGGTGAGTGCATTGTGGTGTTGTGGCTATAATGCGGAAACAGTGTACAATTCAACAGCGAAGGCTCGGACACTCAAACTCACTGACTAAGACAGTTTCTAGAGTACAGTTTAATGCATAGTATCAAACATCATTTCATCAAGTGAAGCGTTTTGTATTTGATTTTGATTGTACGATTTTCTGTGTTTCCCACACACAACTTTTTATCTTGTACTAAAATCTTTTACTGAATCTGTGCCATGCAAATAATATATTCACTCTAATTCGTTCTAATTTAGCTCTGCAAGGCTCAATATGTTACATTGAAGCATGAACAATATCATTGTAAAATTATACCCTTTCAACGTAGAGAATAGTATACTTTCTTCTATCAAAGGGCTGACCTAACTATAAATGCTAGAGAGTTGAGATGGGTTCATGCTTAATTTTGTATTAAGCCATTGACTACTAGAATTTTTCTAAGCATTTAATAATGAATATAGGAAAACACATTTTTAAAGTACTTGTCATGTAATTAATTTTGAATTATTGGGATTCATATTTCACGTTGAACTTGGTTAATATAATCAACAACATGTTCCCCTCTCGCCATCAAAGTTTTAAATGCACTGTCATAAAATGACCTAACAATGCAGGCTGCCAAATGTATCTCTTGGTAGCACTGGCTGGCTATAAACGGAAATGCAAGAGTGTATCTGCGAGCTGGCTGGCTGTGCCAAGACTGAGCTAAATGCGGGTTCTCTAAATATATCCGCGCGTTGCACGGCCAAAAAGTGAGCCAAAAGTATGATCCACAAGACACAAAACCAAAATAGAATGCAACCCATTCCAAACATAATTAAGATATTAATCAAATCTCCAACGAGCAGAAAGATCTGGAGAACGCTAATAACCGATTTGTGCTAAATTTATCTGACATGTAATCGGTTCAATAATTGCACCTGTGCGAAGCCAAGTCTTGTGAAGACCGCACGAGGCACGCGCCCCATAGATTGTTAATTTATGACTTACAGATACATTTGTATCTACTTAAATGGGCAGCCACAAAAACATCTTGCCGCAATGCCAACTAATTTCCGCTCATTAAAAATGCGCAGCGCAGTAGAGGCGGCAACGGCAGCGGCAGAGGCAGCGGCGGACTGGAAACAAAGAAAAGCAAAGGCCGCAACGGACTGCAGGCATTTGTATCTGGCAGATATGCACGCACAACATGCGTTCATTTATCAGCCACAAATGGCCGCTGATGAGCCGCAGTAGCGGCTGATTTTCAATGTGCGGCGCGTGGGCGGCAGTGCAAACGTCGGCGGCTTCCTGGCTGCATTGAGATGTACATGCAGATACATATGCGGTCTGGCCAAATGAAACTTCAAACTTGGATGATTGTGTGTTTTGCTCTCCGCGTGTTTGTTGTGCTCCCAGAAAACTCTTGTCTTTGTCCAGCTCTTTGCATATCAATCATGAAAATCATGCATAAGTCTAGTTAGCCATGGGTCGATTCCCTATTTCTAATTTGGTTCTGCCTCCATTCATACGCAGGTCGCGCATATCAAATACTTTCCATGTGATATCGCGGTATTGTATCTGTATCTTTCAGTACGCTTAACGCGTCGCGATGTTTTGTCAATTGGTCTCATCACCGCCCCCCTCCCCGCCCTATCAACATCCACCCCCCCTAAGTTCGCGTTTTCTCGTCGGCTGGTGAGTGATGTCGTCGTTGCTCCTCTTCGTTGGCAGTCGGAAATCATTTCAACTTTTGGTCGTTGAACTCTTTTTGATTTATTTATTTTGTTTGTTTTTGGTTTTTTGTGTGTGTGTGTGCGTATTTTTTGTCGCCGACACAAAACATGAAATTTTTTTTGTTGCTTTTGGTTTGTTTTCCATGTTTTTATTTATTTTCTGTTGGGCTTGTTTTTATTTTGATTTGCATTGTTTTTGTCCGAGTCTTTGCAAGAGTGAATCTTTGAAGAGCTGTGAAGCTTTGATGCCATTTGCATCTTGGTAACAGCACTGAAATGAAGTCCATGGGTAAATTGAACATGTAGTTTTGTCTGCATGTTTTTCCCAAGATGATCAGCTTAGGATACACCGATAGTCTTCGATTGTGGCGAGCTCAATTCTCTTTTAATGACCCCGATTCGCTGCCTTGTTTTAACTACAGCAAACTTGAAGACAACGTGAACCAGAAAAAAAACACTGCACTTCCAGTGAGGGTAGTCATTAAAATTTAATTTTTTTTCTTTCAGAAAAACGAAACAAAACAAATTGTAGTCTTTGCCAGCCAGTATATATACATATGTACATATGAGTAGAGCTAGCAAGTAACATCCGCAGCTTCGTAGCAAAGGCATTTAACTTTAATTATCGCTCATAAAGCTGAAAATACAGCAACGGCAAGAGTAACTGCCTACTTCAGCACCAGCAATTGTTGCTGCTGCACATATTGCTGTTGCTGTCATCATTTTTGTTTATTTGCAGTGTCGCCCGCTTGAGCGAGTGTGTGTGCTATTGATTTTGTCGACTTTTGTCTTACAGGTTTTCCACGTTTTTCCACATATTTCCACAAGACCCCAAGAGCGACCCACTGCTCCAATGGCGCGAGTCTTTTGCTGATTGTGGGCTGTTGCTGTTGCTTTTGCTGTTGCAGTTGCTGTTGCTGTTGCTGTTGCACTTTTCGCCAAGTCATGCACAGCGGGCAGAGGGAGACGGCAGAGCGCGGGCGAGCGAGAGGGAGACAATCACCCTGAGATATTGTGTAATCGCCCACGTTGATTTATCTCGTTTAAGTGACTCCGAAACGGCAGCAACTGCAATAGCAACAGCAACAGCAACAGCAATTGCAATTGCATTGACAGCGGCAACATCGCGCGATGACGTTGAAAGTGTAATATAATAAGTTGCAATAGCTTGTGCTTGTTTTTTCCGTGGGTCGTGTATCTTTAGTGGTCGTGCTTCTTGATGCTATTTGCCATTTCTTGGCATTGCCATTTGGTGGCTCCTTTTGGTCTTTTATATTTCGGTGCTTGCCAAGTTTTTGGGGCCAAAGCTGCACTCTCGTTTTTTGTCGGCCAACTTTATTGTAGACATTGGACCCATTTATGTCCATGAGCCATCTTGTATCGATTATCGAAAAAAGCATTTTGAAGGGCTAGTTAAAACACGCTTTAAAGGTTTTACACCTAGAAGAAAGAAACTAGAAACGCCTTGCCTAGTTATCAGAAATGGGTGTGGACGTTTTGTTTATTTTTGGCAAATAAAATGAAATAAAAAAATTCAACATTTTTTTTTATTTAACCATATGCCCGGATACAAGTTAGTTAGTTAGTTTGGGCTTCTGCCCAAAATTCACGAAATTTACTTAGCTATTTTTGAATTTAATTGTTAAAAAATCGGTGAAGTTTTTCTTACATTTTTTATTTATTGTTATTGTTGTTGTGGTTTAGTGTTTTCGTTGTAAATTATGATTGTGTTCTGTTGTAGTGACGGGAAACCCAGTATTTTGCTTGTGGCAGAGCCCCCTTTCGATGCCGCCACTGCTTTTACACCGTCTTTGTTGCACCTCCTGCTGTCAGCCCTTGTTGCTTTTTCCACTTGTTTGCCGCATTCTTAGTAGGTTGTTGCTGTTGTTGTTGCTTTTGATGTTCTGATACCCTACTTGAAGCGGGTATTATATGCTTTCCTTGGCTTTAGATAACTATACTACGAAATAGATCTTATGAGATTTTATAGGTATGTTTTAAACATATGTTTTTAGTTTGTGCTCTTCGTTATGGTTGTTTTTAACAATTTGTCCTTGAAAGTGATTAAAAAAATATATTAAACTTTAGGTTACAGGTACAAATCTTAAAAAAAAAACGGTTGTACTTGAAACTTAAAGTACCGTTTGTCTACTTTAATCTTAAATGTAAAAAATATTTAAACGGTTTTCGGCATGATTGATTTTTCTGCGGAAGGTTCTGTTTCTCTTTACGACTTGGGTACTCAAAAACCTCCTGTTCATGTTTTACTTTTTATATTCTTTTTGTGAGCAACAAGCAACCATGCCCTCGCATGTGTGAGTGGTTGTGTGAAAAGCAGTTTAAACACGAAATTAGAGCCTTCCCCTGCCGCTCCTACCGCTACTACTGCTCCCATCCCAAACAAAGTTCCCTCAGGGAGCGCATTAAGTCGTAATAAATGCTGCCTGGCTGCATGCTTTGTACATTGACCTCAAAACGGAGCAAAGCCGCCGTACCCCTGCCCCTGTCCCTGCCACTGCCCCTGCCACGCCCCCCTCATGGCTGTATCTTTTTAGCTGGATGCTGTTCCCCACTGTTGTTGTTGCTCTTGTTGTTTTTCGTGCACATTTTGCTAAATAGCTTCTATTTACGTTCCATGGAAAATGCAATTCGCAATTGTAGAATGCAGACTTTTTTTTTGCCGTTTGCAGTTGTTTTCCCTGCTCGCACGCTACTTTGTCTCTACAAACAATGGCTAGAGGGCCCAAAAGGGGGTGGTGACGAGGGAGGTGGTCGAGCTAGTTGCAATACGTGCGCGACTTTTCGGGGCCATAAATCAAAAAGGCAAAACTCAAAGCGGGTCTCAAGCAGAGACTTTTTGGGTTAAGCCAATTTTGGGGGAGTGAAAATCGCTATTAGGGGAAATTAGGGGAATAACATGGCAGGAAAAGTGTGCAATAATAAGCTTAAATGACAAATTTACCAGACACTTGCCAGTACTACGAGATTTAAACTGCGGGAATTTCGCTGAGTATTTTTATGAGTATTTTATCTACTGAAAAATTTATAATTCCAGTTTTTATCTATAAAAACATAGTAATCAGTGCCAATAATGCTATTTAACGGCTTTTATATAACCCTAATTTACATACAAATTTATACTAAGTTCAGTTAGTTAGTGAGTCTCAATGCCAATTAATCAATCCCGTTCTGCAGCACATAATTCAGCTCTTAAATTAGGGCTTTCGAGACAGGAAGTGCCAGCCAGACGGCTGTAAGTGCTCTGAC